GTGAACTGCTGTATGAAAAGTGAATTTACTCTGTAAATCTTCACCCAAATCCTAATAAAAAAAAAAAAAAGAAAGTGAATTTGTTCTGTAAACTTTCACCCAAATCACAATTAAAAATAAATAAATAAATGAAATATAAACCATGATACGGCATCATTATACTGCATACATCACAGAAAACATTATGGTTGCTCATTAATTCTATCTCACATATCCAAGCAGGAAAAAGAAAAATAGACTCTGACTTCTTGTTGTTGTTATGTGCCATGGAGTTGGACCCGACTCATAGAGACCCCTCCTTGGGTTTCCGAGGCAGTATCACTACGGAAGTAGATTGCCTAACTTTCCTTCCAAAGAATGGCTGGTTGGGATTGAGCTGCCAGCCTCTGGTTAGCAGTCAAGTGCCTTAGGCACTACGCTACCAAAGCTCCCATATTCTGACTGCTACAACAAAATCTAAGAACAAAAACTAAATGCACAGTAAACCTACAGAAAATCCTAAAAGAAATTTTTGCTTATAATTTCAAACTATTAACTATTTTCCCTGATAATTATAAAAGCAAAAAAAAGAAAAAGGGGGGAGGAATAGTTCAAAGGGAAAGATTATCCATAAGAAGGATCTGAGTTTAGCCTATCTATATTGCTAAGAAAAGACCACGATGGCATACAACTTTTGTTCTCTTACCATCGGGAGCAAAAGAGAATGAAGGAAACTAAAGACTCGAAAAAGAATAGTGTACAGGACTAATAGACCACTTGAACTGTGCATGGCCTCTTCTAGCCTGAGACCAGAACAACTAGATGGTACCTGGTTACCACTGACATTCTGATCAGGGATAAAATAGAAGGTCCTGGGGAGAATAGAGAAATATATAGAACAAAACTCAAGATTCCTCAAAAAGACCAGCCTTACTGGATTGAATGAGACTCAAGGAATCCCCAAGACTATCACTCTAAGGTACCCTTTTAACTGAGAACTGAAGGTACTCCTAAAGGTCACCTCTCAGCCAAATAAGAAAGTGGCTTATAAAATAAACAATATGACCCATTAAGAATGGGCTCCCTTAAACAATCAAGTACAGGAGAGTAAACGGTCAACATTTACCCAAAACCAAACATGAGAAGACAAGGAGGGGTGGGGAAGCTAGACAAATGGAAACAGAACAAATAAAATGGTAATAATGAGAACACTGACACTTCGCAAATATTGTAACCAATGTCACAGAATGAATTATATAAAAATTGTTAAATGGGAACCTAATTTGTTGTACACACTTTCACCTAAAACACAAAAAAATATTAAAAAGAAAAAAATCAACTAAGGATGGTTAGCATCTGTTAAGAAAATTAGATTACAAACACAAAACTTCTGAGCACCCCATTTTTGCATGGAAATAGTGAGAGAAAATATTCAGGACCTGGTAGTCCTTTGGCAAATAATTCATCATCTGCTCAACATAAAAATAAGTAACTGAAGTCTTTAAAAAAAAGTAAAAAGAACTACACAGGCAGACCTCACCTTGAAAAGTACTATTCACTGAAAACTCAAGTACATCAGAACCCTGTCAAAATCAAGGGCAGTTTCAATATGCACACTTCATAGTTAACATAGTATTGTGCAAAGTGAAGATTGTACTTGAAAACCAGCCCTATATTATTTAAATGCTCTATGCAGTAAATACAGAAAGAAATCTGATGGTCTGTCATCATGTATCTATCTATTACATCTACTCCTAACCTAGGGCAAATATGAGAAGAAAAAGAAGTAAAAGGCATATAGGTAAGAAAGAAAACCATCTCTATTCACAGATGACATGATTATCTATGTAGAAAATCCAAGGCCTCTACAAAGAAGCCACTAGAAAAATTAAGTGAGTTTAGGAAGGTTGCAGAAGTCAAGTCAGAATATAAAAATCAATTGTTTCCTCTATAACAAAAAAAAGTTGATCTTAAAAAAAAAAAATCAATTGCTTCCCTGGAGCTTAAGCACAATACAGGGCCTATGGAAGAGAAATGTTTCTCCTTATAAGCCTTTAATGTCCCTTTCTAGTCCTACATTTCATTTCACATTTAATGATTTGTAGCTACTTTAAAAAACATGTTTAACAAGATAAACCTTATACACATGATATGGCCTAACATTTAATGAGCATCTATGATTAGTCACGATAGTCATGTCTGATCTAAATTAAAAAATCACTTTCTACTTACAGCCACAGCTTCTGTCTTCACATCATCATTGCTATCTGGAGCAGTTAGTTCTATGAGGACTGGGCAAACTTTGGTCTCCACATCAAATCGCTCAATTAGCTCCTGCTCCAACAAAGCTAGCAAAGCTGCCTGACTTGTTTTTCTCACCTAGGAAAAAACAGTATAAAATAAGTACATACACAACATAACAAAACTTACCAATTGATTTTTTATAAATTTGATGATTTCTCACCTCAAAGGGATTCATAACTGCTCTATCCACCACCCCCCAAATCCACTTCTATCAAGTTGATTTTGATTCATAGCTACCTATAGGACAGAGCAGAACTGCCCCACAGAGTTTCCAAGGCTGTAAATCTTTATGGAAGCAGACTGCTACAGCTTTCTCCCATGGAGTGGCTGGTTTGAACTGCCAACCTTTTGGCTTGCAGCCACTCTGACCACTGCACCACCAGGGCTCTCATAACTGGCAAAACTTGCAAATAAAGAGTTATGGCTACTTTCTTCAACTACTGCAAAGACAATTGGTAAAATTACATTACAACAGATTAGGTTGACCACAAAAGGCATCCTTTTAAGAGATGTCATATGCAATAACAAACTACCAAGTAAGAGTGCAGTTCCTTCTCAGCAGAAACCATGTAAGTGAGAAGGCAATGGGATGGTGTATATAAAACCCTGAAAGAGAAAAATTTTCATCCAAGAATTATATACCCGGTAAAACTGTCCCTCAAATAGGATGGTGAAATTAGGAGATTTCCAGATAAGCAGAAACTAAGGGAATTTGTTAAAACCAGACCAACCTTACAAGAGATGCTAAAGGGAGTCCTCTGAACAGAGAACCAAAAATAGCAAACAACAACCAACCGTTAATACATAAGATGACACAACCCAGAAACTACAGCTATGGACATATCCAAAGTACAATGAGCTTCCAACACTCTAAACAGGGTACCAGAGACATCAATTGGCAAGTAAGGACAACTACAAACAAAAAGAGGCAAAAGACTGTGTAGTTACAGAACTTCTAAATGGTGAGAGTCGCTAGATAGAATGAACTGTTACATTATGCTGAATGAAATAAGTCAAACACAAAAGGACAAATATTGTATTAGTCCGTTATTGTAAAAGTTAAGGAAAGGTTCATCTATAGAAGGAGTTTTTCTTTGTTGGTTACCAGGGGTGAGAGGGGAGTGGAGGGAAGGCTGTTAGATAGACAGAGATAAGTATTGATTTGGGTGAAGAGAAGGGCAATGTACCAAATGTGAGTGACCAATATGACACCGTTGAACATGAGAAAGACATAGGGAGGTACAGACAACAAATACGAACCCTTTTGCACATACAGTACTGCGTTGTCAGCAAAGGCAAACATGGGTATATGGGTGGATAGATGGGTGGACAGGCTAAATGATTAGGTATGTCTAAGAAATGGGGAGGATATCCAAGAACATATATAGAGTTGGCAGACAATGGTCCTATAAGTTTATGTGAATGATCAGAATTCCCAGGTGTATAGTAGAGCTGACAAGGGGCAAGGTTGTGGTCACTGTTTGGTCAC